TAGGGAGAGAGTGGGAGGCGGATAGAAGAGGGATAGAGGAGAGGAAACAAACAGGTCGAAGAGGCGGGGATGGAGCCAGTAAAGGTGAGTGTAGGTAGGGAGTTAGGAAGGGGATAGGTCAGTCCAGGGAGGACGGACAGGTCAAGGGGGCGGGATGAGGTTGGTCGGTAGGAGATGGAGGTGCGGCTTGAGGTGGGAGGAGGGGATAGGTGGGAGGAAGAACAGGTTAGGGAGGCAGGGACGAGCTGGACTGGTTTTGGGATGCGGTAGGGGGAGGGGAGATTTTGAAGCTTGTGAAGCCCACATTGATACCATTGGGCTGCAGGGTTCCCAAGCGGAATATGAGTTGCTGTTCCTGCAACCTTCGGGTGGCATCGTTGTGGCACTGCAGGAGGCCCAGGATGGACATGTCGTCTGAGGAATGGGAGGGGGAGTTGAAATGGTTCGCGACTGGGAGGTGCAGTTGTTCATTGCGAACCGAGCGTAGGTGTTCTGCAAAGCGGTCCCCAAGCCTCCGCTTGGTTTCCCTGATGTAGAGGAAGCCACACCGGGTACAGCGGATGCAGTATACCACATTGGCAGATGTGCAGGTGAACATCTGCTTGATGTGGAAAGTCTTCTTGGGGCCTGGGATGGCGGTGAGGGAGGAGGTATGGGGGCAGGTGTAGCACTTCCTGCGGTTGCAGGGAAAAGTGCCGGGTGTGGTGGAGCTGGAGGGGAGTGTGGAGCGGACAAGGGAGTCACGGAGAGAGTTGTCCCTCCGGAAAGCAGATAAAGGTGGGGAGGGAAAGATGTCTTTGGTGGTGGGGTCGGATTGCAGATGGCGGAAGTGTCGGAGGATGATGCGTTGGATCCGGAGGTTGGTGGGGTGGTACGTGAGGACGAGGGGGATTCTTTTTTGGTTTTTATTGCGTGGACGGGGTGTGAGGGATGAGGTGCGGGAGATGTGGGAGACACGGTTGAGGGCGTTCTCGACCACCGAGGAGGGGAAGTTACGGTCCTTGAAAAACGAGGACAACTGAGATGTACGGGAGTGGAATGCCTCATCCTGGGAGCAGATGCGGCGGAGGCGAAGGAATTGGGAATAGGGGATAGCATTTTTGCAGGAAGGTGGGTGGGAGGAGGAGTATTCTAGGTAGCTGTGGGAGTCGGTGGGCTTGAAATGAATATCGGTTTCTAGGTGGTTGCCCGATATGGAGACAGAGAGGTCCAGGAAGGGGAGAGCGGTGTTAGAGATGGTCCAGGTAAACTTAAGGTTGGGGTGGAAGGTGTTAGTGAAGTGGATGAACTGTTCGAGCTCCTCGTGGGAGCACGAGGCGGCGCCGATACAGTCATCAATGTAACGGAGGAAGAGGTGGGGTTTAGGGCCGGTGTAGGTACGGAAGAGGGATTGTTACAGGCAGCACTTGATATACTATTCCATTACGATTCTAACTCTATTTTGTGTGAAACAAGTTTCAGAGTTCTTGTAGGAGCAGAAGGACTTGCATTTTTGGAGTGACTTCCGTTACCTCAGAAACTTCCAAAATGCTTTACAGCCAATGAAATGTTTTTTGAAGAGTAATGCTTGGAATGCAGGAAACAACAGACAATGTGCACACTATAAACTCCCACCAATAGATAAAATTGATACTGAGCAGGTAAATTTTTTTGTGATGTTGATTGAGGAATGAATATTGACCAGTGCATGGGGCCAACTCCTCTGCTGTCCTTAGAAATTTCGCCACAGGACTTTTGCATCCACCTGACGGGGGAGATGGCACCTTATTTTGAGGTACCTCGGACGTAGTAGCACTCCCTCAGTCTTAGGCAGGTGCATCAGCCTACATTTTTGTCCTCAAATCCGGGAGTTATACTTGAAGCCACAACCAGAGGTCAGAATGCTGCCCAATGAGCCAGGGCTAATTACAAAATAAGTTTGCTACTTCAGAGACTTTGGCCTGACCTTGTATTGTAATTCAAAACCAACTCATTTCATTACTTATCTGTTACTGTAAAAAACATGACATTTGCTAATGCTACATTAATTGGGTACAAAATATTAAAGTCAGCTTTTCATTAATTGCAAACAATTTTGCTTGGACTCCAGGCAAAAAAGATTTGTGCCCTCTGTAAAAATTGGCAGGTGACTACCAAAACAAAATTAGGACAACTAGTAGAGATAGCTAAAGCAAAAGCAAAGCACTAAGGATGCTGGAGACCTGAAAGAAAAACAAAATGATGGAAAATCTCAACAGGTCTGGCAACATCCACGGAGAGACAAACAGAGTTCACGTTTTAAGTCCAAGTCCAAAATATCTCCACTGTAGAACTGAAAGGGGCTGGAAATGTGATAGTTTTAATGCTGTTGAGAAAGGTGGGGAAGAGCAAGTGGAACAGATGGCAAAAGTGATCAGAACAAAAGGCAAAGGGAATGCTAATAGTAACAGAGGAATGATGTAGTTGAAGACTTTGTGTTAATGGCAATGTTAATAGCAAAAATTAGGTCAACTTTGCTGGGAGCAAACACATACAGACATGACACATGGAGGACAGAATTCATGGTCTGAAGTTGTTGAACTCAATACAGAATTCTGAGGCTGTGAACTTCTTAAGTGAAAAATAAGGCACTGTTCCTCCAGCTTACGTTGGGCCTTGCTGGAACACTACAGCAGGCCTAAGACAGAAACGTTAGCACGAGAGCAAGATGACACATAGAAATTGTAAGTGATGAGAAAATCAGGGTCATTTTTGAGGACAGCGGAGAGACACTGAGTAAGTGATCACCCAGTCTGTGTTTGATCTTGCCAATGAGGAGACCACATTGTGAGTTGTGAATACGGGAGACCAGATTGAAAGAAGGACAACTGCTTCACCTGGAAGGTGTGTTTGCTGCCTTAGACAATGAGGAGGAGAAGGTAAAAGGGCAAGCGTTACACCTTCTATTAGTGGATAGACTATCCCTAGAAATGGAAGCAGTGAAGTCAAGAAAGCAAAGGAACAAATTGCAGATGACCAGGTGAAGAATTTAAATTGGAATCGAAATTGATTCATTTATCCAAATCCAGACAAAAACAGGAAACTGCATTGGTGACTCATCGATATACTGGAGAAAGATTTGAGGGAGGGAACCCAAGTTGGACTGAAATGTGTTCTGCTTTTCCCCACAAAGAGACAGGCATACTGTTACCCATGCAGATGTTCATAGCCATACCTTTTACTTGGAGGAAGTGATGATGTGGAGGTTCTGGTATTGGAGTGGGGTGGACAAGGTCAAAAATCACATGACACCAGGCTATAGTCCAACAGGTTTATTTGAAGACACAAGCTTTCAGAGTGCAAGACTCCAAAAGTTTGTGTCTTCAAATAAACCTGTTGGACTATAACCTGGTGTCATGTGATTTTTGACCTGGAGAAAGTGAGGCAATTAAAGGAGAAATTGCTCAAAGTTGGAACAAGCTCAACCAGGCAAAGAAGGGTGATGGTGGATGGGGACTGTTAAGGGCTCCTTCCAAGGAAGATATGAAGAACCTTCAGTCCATCCTGATGTGGAATGGAGGTATAGAAAGAATTCACATCCATGGGAGAGGATGTGGCTGATGTCAAGAAACTGTCAATAGTGGAACTGATGTAATGCATCAGACCACCTAAATGTGAGAGTGTTAAGAGACTAGACAAAGGGAGAATTCTAAAGCATCCATTCTAACTGTGGTCAGGTCACATTATTTACTGCTTGCATAATTTACATTATTTGTTGTGTCTCAGATTTCTAATGCATTACTGCATGTGTTACAGGCTTTGGCATTGAATAGACTTCATCCTTCATCCCTGATAATCCAAGAGCCATTGTCAATGAAGGGCCAGCCTTCTATGAACAGTGAAGTTTCTCTTTAAAACAGTGTAAAAACAGACAGAGCACTTATTCTCAAAAATGAGGAGAACTCTGAAATTACTGGCAAATGCGCATCTTTAATTTGTATTCTCTTCCCATTGACTTAGAATACAGAGTTAACCGATTATCGCTGTAGCATCATGTATCATGGAACAATGTTAAAGAAGTAATTTTTTGAAGCAAACACATGCAATGTGTAAACAATGAATTCAGATAATGGAAAGTTGTGTTATATACTTGAGAGTGATGGGTTTTGTATTACATAGGAATTTAGAATTTATTGTAAAAGGTCATTAATCTTCTATGTATTTAATTTAAATACAAAATAAAAATTAGGAGCTCCATCTCAAATGTAAGATACAAATATATTTTGCAATTTATTTTCTGTTTCACAGTAATCTGTTGAAAATCATTTGCACTGTGTCATTCATTGCATCTTTCATCCTTGAAACTACTAGTAAACTTAGCACAAGGTGACTCTCTGTAGACATACATTGTGTGACATTTGTCTTGGGCAGTGGTGCAAAATGGGTTGTATTGGATTGGCTACCAGGGCTCCATGGCATCTGATATTTGGTTCCATTGTTTTAATGGAATTAAATGTGCTCCAATACCCAATCCACAAAATGTACTCTGTACAAGTAGGGGAAAGAAATGAAATTCATAAAGAGCCTATAAAGCCTACATTGCAGAAAACAATATTTAGATTAAGCATTAATTCCACATAAAGACTCAGATACTATCTATAAACCATTAAATCTTTGCTTTTTTTTTGGTGCGTCATTGCCTTGTAACTAGATCACTTCATTCAGGTTATTGTGTGTAATTTAACATAAAGCTAAAAGCCCATGGACTGATATTTCCATACAAATCTGGTAAAACACTTATTACTGTTCTTTGGTATTTTCACAAAGGTGTTATGGTCATAACACATTAATTTGCTGAAATTATGCATTGCAATTTCCTTGTAACAATACCAAGTTTGAATGAAGCGCTACAAATGTCAGCAGACATTACAGAACACATACTGTATGATCATTAGAAATCAATGGCATAAATCTAAGTGCACATGCATTTCCATCATGGCTTCTTTCTCATTTTCATTATAGAAAGCATAACATTTTGTATTGGCGTGATTAGTATCCAGTCCACAGCCTTTTCTTTACGCCTTTATGTACCTAATTAAAAAGAAACACACTTTTAAGTTTCAACATCCATGAAAGAGTAGTTCCTTTGTAATAAAGATATGTGGCAGGCATTGGGGTTAGCACTGATAATAAATATATTACCTACTACATTGGAACATAGGGATAGGAATAGACCATTTAACTCATGGAGCCTGTTTGGTTATTTAATCAGATCATGGCTGAATGAACATATCAATTTGTTTTATGCGCACTATCCCCATAACTATTTATGCCATTAATAATCAAAAATGTATCAATATCCACTTTAGATATATGTAAAATCCACAATCCTCTTGGCTTCATAATTTCAAACATTCAGTATTCACTAAGTAAAATTGGCCATGTCTTGGTCAATCACTAAGCCTGTCTAAATCCTCCTGAAAATGTTTTAAACCTTCACCACAACACACAGTCCTGCTGAGATTTGTAATATCAAAAACATTGGTAATATTCTAGTTGGTCTCCATATCTAAACCATTGATAAAGATTGTGAACAGCTGAGACTCAAGTACTGATGTTTGTGGGTCCCACTTGCCACAGTCTGCCGATGTGAGAATGACCCATTTAGAGTCATAGAGTCATAGAGATATACAGTACGGAAATAGACCCTTCGGTCTAACTCGTCCATGCCGACCAGATATCCTAAATAAATCTAGTCCCATTTTCAAGCGTTTGGCCCACATCTCTCTAAATTCTTCCTGTTAAAGTACCCATCCAGATGCCTTTTAAATGTTGTAATTGTACCAGCCTCCACCACTTCCTCTGGCAGCTCATTCCACACACGCAAAACCCTCTACATGAAAAAGTTGCCCCTTACGTCCCTTTTAAATCTTTCCCCTCTCACCTTAAACCTATGCCTTCTAGTTTTGGACTCCCCCACCCCAGGGAAAAATACCTTGTCTATTTACCCTATCCATGCCCCTATGATTTTATAAACTTCTATAAGATCACCCCTCAGCCTCCAACACTCCAGGGAAAAAAACCCCAGCCTATACAGCCTCTCCTGATAGCTCAAACCCTCCAACCCTGGCCAAATTGAAAATCATGAAATGATTTAGGCAGGGGTGTCTCTCTGGCATCGCCTTCCTTACTGTGTCTCTTTACTCTGACTATCTCTTTATTTTAATATGCATATAAACTTTACTTTCCTGTAATTTACATTTACTGGCATTACCGACGCTGAATCCTCCACCATCGACATCCTGGGGGATATCAGTGACTAGACGACATAAATACTGTGGCTGCAAAAACCAGTCTGAGATTGGGAAGTCTGTGCCAAGTAACTCACCTTCTGATTCCCCAACACCTGTCCACCATCAACGGGAGAGTAATGAAACACTGGCAACATTCCTGGATGAGTATGGGAGACTAACAGGGAGATTCAATTAAAGTGTTTAAGATGATAACATAATGTAATAGGGTAGATAGAAAGAAGCTACTTCTTCTGGAAGGGTAGATCAGAACAAGGCACATAACATCAAAATTAGCACTAAGCAGGTCGGGAGCATGTCAGAATGCACTCCTTCATAGAAAACTGGTAACAGAAGTCTTGTAGCAATTGAGGATATATCAATTGAAAATGTCAAAATGAAGATTGATTTTTTTTTTTTAGTTAGGTAATGGTGTTAAGGGATCAGGAGCTAAGGAATATACAGAAAGTTAGTTAAAAACAGAACAGCGATGATTTAATTAAATTGTTGAACAGATTGGAGCAACTGCATGGCTTGTTTCTGGTCCTATATTCCTAATGCCCATGTTAACAAAATGTTTAAATAATATCTCAATCTTTCTGTACTTTAGAAGTTACATACTATTACATTCTTATGATGTTGAAATACCTACCAGTTTCTTGCTGTTGTGTTTTTGGCTCGTTTCTGCAAAAAACAAAATCCATAAAGAAAGCACTATGGCTGTTAGATAATTTACTTACTGTAGCAGTATCATGCATTGAGCTGTAGGTGGTGTGAATGATCTGCTACAAGCAGATTGCTATTATGTTCGTTAGTTGGTCAAATCTGTTTGGATTTGTATTTAAACCACCAGCTAGCTCAATAATGTTTAAAATCATTTAATATCATTTAATTAAGCTTGTTAATTTACAACTTGATGGCAAACTCACCTTGGATAGGGGTCACTATAAGGCTCCCTATGAAAACAAAATGTTTTCAATCATGAATAAATGACAATAGCTAAAATGTGCAAATTTAATACATACTTATCTGCTAAATCTAGTAATTACTAATCTAGGCAAATTCCTATACAAAAAAAGTGAAAAATTCTTTTAATCCCATGCTGGATTTTAATCCAAATTTGTAATTACCTTCCAGGATAACCTGGGTTAGAAATTCCTTTTTATTCCGTTATGTTTGAGCATGAAATCACAGTTTCATTGACGACATTTGTATTGGGATATGCTGTGTGGGAAATGGATGCCAAATGGGTAAGGGATTTATTAGATGTCCCTGTCAGCTGCCTGAAATGAGTTTGGTTTTACATACGCGGGGAGTTCTGTACCTATATTCAGATCATTTTCAAAGATTGTTGAAATTGTTGAGTTGCTCATTCTTATGGCTGCTCAGGAAACAAGGCAAAAATAGACTATGTAAACTTTCTTTAAGTATTTATGTTGCAATATTTATTAACATACCTTTTTACATTTTGATTATAAGTTATAAAATGTTGTCTTTTTTATTGATCTCATGTCATGAAAGAAATAAACTTGTCATTTTTGCTGAGAAGGCTAATGTGACAAGTATTGAAGGATTCACTGTAAACGAAGCACATCTATAATTGTAGTTTGAATTTTTAAATAATTATCTTTATTCTTTTCATTTACATTGTTATTTTTACTTGTAAATCTTGTAAATATGAAACTTGAATGTATCATAATGTTGTCATGAAATGTATAATGCTATAAAGCCATAAATGTCAGAATAAATAAAATTTAGAGCCATCTAGTACCTGTGTTATGGAGCTTATTTTAGAAACACGGTTTTGTCAGGGTGCCCCACCTGCCATATTTTCAATTTCATTTCCTTTTCATTTGCAAAGGACATGCGCAGCTTCTAGCATGCGTGATTGATCTACACAGTGAGTCCAACTGATAATCTTAACTTGGTTGTGCATGCAGTTCTAAGCTCAATTGGGATTGTTTGGCATGTGTTGTTTAATCTAACCATCACACCTAATGTTGGACACTAGGTTCTGAGGTTTGCAAGCACAAGCTATTTAAGTGCGGTCAGTTCTTAGCCTTTGTGAACAGTAGAAGGAGCAAACTGTTTGATACTATCGGTTAGGCACTGGGATGTAAAGCCTGACAAATCACCAGCACATTATCTTTTAAGTAATACTCAAGTTCTAAGCGACTAAATAATTTTACTTCTTTCAACTCAGTCTGGAGCAAGATGTCATATTGAGGAGAGAAAAAAGAGTCTCATCAGTTTCTTCTGTACAATTAAGTGAATTTCATTACTCAATATTTTATACCATTTCATTAGGTACTTGTGTCATTAAGAGGTAGTATACTGTTTAACGAATGTTTGAAAGCCAATTACAGCAGATGATGCTAAAATGGAAATTAGTTAGTGAAGTGAGCAAAGTGACCTCTTTAAAAATTGTACTACAGGATTTATTTTACAGCTTAATAAAATCTTCTACCTGAAACATCAGCTTTTTGTCTATTGTAATATGACATGTAGTATAGTCCACTCATTTACTTTAAATGTTTTATGTTAGATCTTAATATTTAGCGCTGAAAGCCATCTAGATAAGAGCTATACAGACACTTTTTTTAAAAAAATGCACACACAGTGCTACTCCACATCCCTGCAATAACATTTTATAACTGTCTTTTAAGTGCAAATTGGAAGAAATAAAAACTATCTTCATTTGGTGATTATGCAGCAATCTGAGTTTACATCTCCATCTTCTTCCAGTTCTGGCCTTTTCTGCTTCACTTATTTTAATCTCTCCACCGTAGTGACTACTCTTAAATATAAATACCTCAAACTGTAGAATTTCCTCACAAAACCTCTCCACCTTTACATTTCTTTCCTGTTTTACAACAGTTCTTAAAAACTAACTCTTTGTCAGTGACCATGAAGTATTTTGGGACATTTTGCAATGTTACAGGTATGATATAAATGCAAGGTGTGGATGTTATGGGTCCTCTGCAATTTCAATCTGGCACCAACTCCAATTTTTATATTTGTCACACAATCTGGAAATTTTATGAATTAATTTTTAAAAATATTTTAAATTCCTGTACAATGACAAGGCTTTTGTAACTGTCTCTGAACAACACTAGCTACAGGGAAAACAAGCATATACTTGCAGCAATCTTAACAATTTCATTTACCATGAGACCAAGCTGACATTGCAGGTGAGTAATTAACTACAATAAAAAGTTTATTTGATTTCAGATTGTTTGATGCAAAATTGAAGTTGCAGCGTTCAATTAATAAGCATCAAATATAGTTTTCTAAACATCAAGCAAAAATAAGCAGTAAATGTACAATATATTCAACAGAGAATTGAAAGTCACTGAGCACTCACAATTTGTTGCTCAGTTGTCTCTTATACTATGACAATTTTGCAAAAGGGAAAGGGGAACTTACTGTTGGTCCAATACAAGAGGTACGCGGGAAGTGTCATAGTTGAAAGGCAGACGTGGTGGTGCTCTTTCCCCAGTTCTTGCATTAAACATAGGGAGAGTGGAGAGAGGCCGGATGCCATCCCTGCTTTTAGCCAAATCTCTAAGTTCACTGGTATTATCTTGAATTGAATGGTGATGAACAAGTTGTATGCTAAAACAGTAAAACATAGAAGGCACATGATAGAAATAAAAATATTTTGAACCTATAGTTCATATGCAATGATTTAACGCACTTCTTGTAATAGGCAAAGCAGGAATCCAGAGTTTCCAGAAGTCTAAGAGCTTGTCCAAGTTTTAAGGTTGAAGAAACTGATCCAGCACGGTCCTGTCAGCAATGCTGTATCCCAGCGCTTTCCAAAGGGAGGTGGGGGCAGCAAGTGGAGAAGATAAAATGTAGTGTTGGATACTAGTATTCCTGTAAAGCTGGCAAGACTGGCTAGAAATTAGTTAGGGCATTGAAATTGTCCCCCTTTATATTAAACTGGGGTCTGAAGCTTTTGCTCAGTTGGATGTAAAGATTCATAGAAGAGCAGGAGAGCTTGTACCGAGTATTGTGCAACATTTTGCCCTCCACCAACATGTACGAGAACAGATTATTGATTTCATTGCTGATCATTGCTGTTTGCAAATTAACCATGTCTTTTCCTATCTTCTAGAGTAATTCATCAGCCACACAAGGTTCTTCTTATTCCAGGGTATCCTATCCTCTCTAGAACAGGAGGTGTTAGCCAATGCTGACACTATGTACAGGAATTAGGAACAGAATGTTTGGCTCAAATTAAATAAACTGCCAAACAAAAAAATAAAGATACTTACCAGGCAAATACCTCAAGTGTTCAATGTGGTTACTATCATCCTGGTTAGTACTCTACTTGACACATGAACTGTAGAGCTCTTTTATTGCTTTATATGCAGACTGATACTCCAACAGAGCATCTAGTTAAGCTATAGCTTACAATTGAAACCCTTGGCTTATTAACAAATGCAACTTTGCAACACCCACAATCTGTTTGCATTGTGTATGAATAACTGCAGCATTCAGACATGTCATCACTGTGTTATGCATTTAACTTGCATCATCTGAAAAAAATTTAACTGTTGGCATCACAAAATGGTACATTCCACAAGCAAGTGGCGTCAAAGTGAACTCTGGTACAAAATTATTAGCACTTGAATCTCACTGAGAAGGTTCATCTCAATTTCCTTGTTCACAACACAATGACGATAAACAAAAAAAAATGAAATCTGGGATCTCTGTAGAGCTCAGGACTAATACCATTTCATTTTTGTCATTTCTTTTCCTGAATCCTACTCATTCCAACAGAGGCATCAATTTGACCACTTAAATACAGCATATATTGCCTTCACTCTAATCGATGTTTGAAAGAGTATCTAACAGCCAACATTCCATTAGGGTGTCTACAGAAAACTTCTCTGAGAAAGAAAAAGCTTGGGAAGAAAGTTGAATAGTTCCAGAAAGGGTACATACATCTTAAATGAATTGAATTAGAGTTAAGAAACAGTAGGAACTGCCGTTGCTGGAGTCTGAGATAACAAAGTGTAGAGCTGGATGAACTCAGCAGGCCAAGCAGCATCAGAGGAGCAGGAAAGCAGTTGTTTCGGGTCTGGACCCTTCTTCAGAAATGGGGGAGGGGAAGGGGACTCTGAAACAAATAGAGAGAGGGGGAGGCGATGATGGAAGGTGGATTGAGGAGCAGATAGGTGGAGAGAAGATGGACAAGTCAAAGAGGCAGGGATGGAGCCAGTAAAGGTGAGTGTAGATATGGACTTGTGATGGGGGTTGGTCAGTTGGGAGGGAGGGGCGGGTAGGTGGAAGGGAAGATGGACAGGTCAAGGGGGTGGGGATGAGGGTAGTAGGTAGGAAGTGGGGGGGGGGGGAGGGGAGATTTTGAAGCTTGTGAAGTCCACATTGAGACCATTGGGCTGCAGGGTTCCCAAGTGAAATATGAGGTGCTGTTTCTCCAGCCTTCAAGTGGCATCGTTGTGGCACTGGAGGAGGCCTAGGATGGACATGTCATCCAAGGAGTGGGAGGGGGAGGTAAAGTGGTTTCCGACTGGGATGTGTAGTCGTTTGTCACGAACTGAGCGTAGGTGTTCCACAAAGTGGTCTCCAAGCCTCCACTTGATGTAAAGGAGGCCACAACGGGAACAGTGGATGCAGTATACCACATTAGCGGATGTGCAGGTGGACATCTGTTTAATGTGGAAGGTTTTCTTGGGGCCTGGGATGGAGGTGATTGGGGAGGTATAGGGGCAGGTGTAGCACCTCCTGCGGTTGCAGGGAAAAGTGCCGGGGGTGGTGGGGCTAGTGGGGAGTGTGGAGCAGATGAGGGAGTCACGGACAGATCCGTCCCTCCGGAAGGCGGATAAGGGTGGGGAGGGAAAAATGTCCTTGATAGTGAGGTCAGATTGCAGATGGTGGAAGTGGCGGAGGATGATGCGTTGAATCCGGAGGTTGGTGGGGTGATAAGTGAGGACGAGGGGAATTCTGTCTTTGTTGTTATTACAGGGAGGGGGTGTGAGGGATGAGTTGTGGGAAATGCAAGAGATGCGGTCGAGGGCGTTTTCGACCACTGTGGAGGGGAAATTGCGGTCCTCGAAAAACGAGGACATCTGGGAAGTCCGGGAGTGGAATGCCTCATCTCGAGAGCAGATGCAGCAGAGGCGAAGGAATTGGGAATAGGGAATGGCATTCTTGCAGAAAGATGGGTGAGAGGAGGTGTATTCTAGGTAGCTGTGAGAGTTGGTAGGCTTGAAATAGATGTCAGTTTTCAGGTGCTTGCCAGAGATAGAAACAGAGAGGTCCAGGAAGGAGAGAGAGGTATTAGAGATAGTCCAGGTGAACTTAAGGTTGGGTGGAAGGTGTTAGTAAAGTGGATGAACTGTTTAAGCTCCCCGTGGGAGCACAAGGCAGTGCCGATACAGTCATCGATATAACGGAGGAAGAGGTGGGGGATGGGGTCAGAGTAGCTGCGGAAGAGGGATTGTTCCATGTATCCTACAAAAAGGCAGGCATAGCTTGGGCCCATGTGGGTACCCATGGCCACCGCCTTTGTCTGTAGGAAGTGGGAGGAATTGAAAGAGAAGTTGTTGAGGGTGAGGACGAGTTTGGCTAAGTGGATGAGGGTGTCAGTGGAGGGGGACTGGTCGGGCCTGCGGGACAGGAAGAAGCGGAGGGCCTTTAGGCCATCTGTATGGGGAATGCAGGTGTATAGGGACTGGACATCCATGGTAAAGATGAAGTGTTGGAGACCAGGGAATCGGAAGTTTTGGAGGAGGTGGAGGGTGTGGGTGGTGTCACGGACGTAGGTGGGGAGTTCCTGGACCAAGGGGGAGAAAATGGAATTGAGATAGGTGGAGATAAGTTCGGTGGGGCAGGAGCAGGCAGAGACAATGGGTCGACCAGGGCAGTCGGGTTTATGGATTTTGGAAAGGAGATAGAAACGGGCGGTGCGGGGTTGGGGAACGATGAGATCGGAGGCTATGGGTGGGAGGTCACCTGAGGTGATGAGGTTGTGGATGGTCTGGGAGATGATGTTTTGGTGGTTGGGGGTAGGGTCATGATCAAGGGGGCGGTAGGAGGAGGTGTCGGAGAGTTGGCGCCCACTTCCTACAGACAAAGGGGGTGGCCATGGGTATCCACATGGGCCCAAGCTATGCCTGCCTCTTTGTAGGATATGTGGAAGAGTCCCTCTTCTGCAGCTACTCTGGCCCCATTCCCCACCTCTTCCTCCGTTATATCAATGATAGTATTGGTGCCGCCTTGTGCTCCCACGAGGAGCTCGAACAGTTCATCCACTTTACTAACACCTTCCAACCTAACCTTAAGTTCACCTGGACCATCTCCTTCCTCGACCTCTCTGTTTCTATCTCTGGCAACCACCTGGAAACTGCTATCTATTTCAAGCCTACCATCTCTCACAGCTACCTAGAATACACCTCCTCCCACCCACCTTCCTGCAAAAATGCCATCCCCTATTCCCAACTCCTTCGCCTCCGCCGCATCTGCTCCTAGGATGAGGCATTCCACTCCCGAACATCTCAGATGTCCTCGTTTTTCAAGGACTGCAATTCCCCCTCCACAGTGGTCGAAAACGTCCTCGACCGCATCTCTCACATTTCCCGCAACTCATCTCTCACACCCCGTCCCCGCAATAACAACAAAGACAGAATTCCCCTCGTCCTCACGTATCACCCTACCAACCTCCGGATTCAATGCATCATCCTCCACCACTTCTACTCCCTGCAATCTGACCCCATTACCAAGGACATTTTTCCCTCCCCACCCTTATCTGCCTTCCGGAGGGACCGCTCTCTCTGTGGCTCCCTCGTCTGCTCCACACTCCCCACTAGCCCACTAGCCCACCACCCCTGGCACTTTTCCCTGCAAAACCGCAGGAAGTGCTACACCTGCCCCTCCACCTGCCCCCTCACCCCCATCCCAGGCCCCAAGAAAACCTTCCACATTAAACAGATGTTCACCTGCACATCTGTTAATGTGGTATATTGTATTCGCTGTTCCCGATGTGGCCTCCTCTACATTGGGGAACCCAAGCAGAGGCTTGAGACCGCTTTGTGGAACACCTACGCTCAGGTCGTGACAAACAACTGCACCTCCCAGTCGTGAAACACTTCAACTCCCCCTCCCACTCCTTGGATGACATGTCCATCCTAGGCCTCCTCCAGTGCCACAACGATGCCACCCGAAGGCTGGAGGAACAGCACCTCATATTTCGCTTGGGAACCCTGCAGCCCAATGGTCTCAATGTGGACTTCACAAGCTTCAAAATCTCCCCAACCCCGATCTCATCCCAAGACCAGCCCAGCTTGTCCCCTCCTCCTTGACCTGTCTGTCTTTTCTCCCATCTATCCGCTCCTCCCACCTCACTGACCAACTCCCAACCCCATTTCCTACCTACTGACCTCATCGCTGCCACCTTGACCTGTCCATCTTCCCTCCCATCTACCCACCTCTCCCTCCCAACTGACCAACCCCCATCCCAACTCCCTACCTACACTCACCTTTACTGGGTCCATCCCTGCCTCCTTGACCTGTCCATCTTCTCTCCACCTATCTGCTCCTCAATCCACCTTCCATCATCGCCTCCCCCTCTATTTATTTCAGAGTCCCCTTCCCCGCCCCCATTTCTGAAGAAGGGTCCAGACCCGAAATGTCAGCCTTCCTGTTCCTCTGATGCTGCTTGGCCTGCTGTGTTCATCCAGCTCCACACCTTGTTATCTCTGAATTAGAGTTAAAATGTGTATAGTAAAAGGAGAGATGGTATAGGAAAACTGCAACTCCACCAATTTCTTGTGAATGCTGCAAGATGCTTCTTGGTGTTTTTATAGGCCTGCAAGTGTAGCCTGAAAATACTGCTGGTTGGCCAATCCCTTAGCAAGTAGCATCCCTCTCATCAACGATTTCAGACACTTGTACAACAATATTTGATGGGAAGGGAGATGAAAGTGCTGGTATTCTGACCAGTAGATCAGTTATGTCATTGGAGAACACAACGGATAACAAAAACAAAGTTGCTGGAAAAGCTCAGCAGGCCTGGCAGCATCTGTGAAGGAAATGTTAACTTTGACATTGGAATGTCATGCCATGTTCCTCAAATAAATTGAGGGGAAAAGGTGATGTAAGTGTTTACTGAGGTAATTTCAATATTATTGCATAATCTGGACTGAGGCCGACATCACTGCATTCAACATAACCTTGCCTGTAGCCCCCAGTTCCATGCAACAAGTATCAAAACTCTGTAGCTATACATCCTGATGTCCCAGAGATTGCATTGGCTGTTGCATAAAACACTTAAATATTGAAGTTGGAATTCTTCACTAACTCTACCTTCACTTACATCTGGTACTATGATTGTAACAAGCAATGAGGTGTTCTCTGGTTCACTCACCCAGCTCAGGTGAAAGTTGCCAGTGCAAATACACCTCATTTATTTTCTTTGATCATTTATTCCAGTTCTGAGGCATTCCTCTAAATTATTTACTTATTATCTGCTTACTACTGATATAGCGATGGACGTTTTTCAGAACTTTAAGGATAAACATTGCATTTTTTTAAGCACATGAAGACAGTCATACTGTATTCAAAATATCCAGCTTTGGTTTAAATAACTGACTTTCTTGTAATTTAAAAAAAGAAAAATGCCAACTTACTCTGAGGATTTTGTGTCTCTTTTTTCTCTGCAAATGAACAAAAGGAAGTCAATAATCCATGTTAAGGAAAGAGGAAATTGTCAAAGGTTCAGTCATAAATATTAAAATCCCAAAACAGAAGCCTATGTTAATCACTGACATTCAGACCAATTAACACCTAGGTCTAACACTGAACTAAATTGTTAATTTTCTTTTGTATTCATCCACGGGATGTGGGCTTTGCTGACTAGGCCAGCATTTATTGTCCATCCTTAATTGTCCAGAGGGCAGTTAAGAGTCAACCACATTGCTTTGGGCCTGGAGTTACATGTAGATCAGACCAGGGAAGGATGGCAGTTTCCTCCCCTAAATTACATTACTGAGCCAGACAGGTTTTTTTTGACAGTGGACAACGACTTCACGGTCATCATTAGGACTCTTAATTCTAGTGCAGTCAGTTGGTTTTACTTAACTTCAAAAGAGATTCATTAATTCACCTTTCAAGTAACATTCAGTTGAGTGTTTGATTGATTACAGTAGTAGATTGAAACTTGTTAATAGGTTTTACTTTATTTCTAGAGCTACATGGAATGTCCATGTGTCACTCCAATAGTTTCTTGATCTTTGTTTTTAATTTAGCCTATTTTCCTAATCAACCTGTTCAGAATATTATTACACATCTCCGAAGCAGGTGGGACTTGAATCTAGGCCTCTTGATTCAGGGGTTGGGACACTACCACTTTGCCAAAAGAGAGCTCTCACTTTGTTTCTTTCTCGATTTGCTCCTTTTATTGGCATCACTTATTCCATTTTGCCTCTCCATTAAAATCCATTATGTCTCTGTACAACTATCAACCAGGGAATTCCTCAATTGAGGGAAGGCTGAGTGTAAAGTTCAAGAATTTGACTTGGGTTTTTCACCTGAGTTTCCATAAATGCTGAGAGTATTAGAATGCAGTGAAAAAGTGCCGACACTCTCAGAGTTAATGTTGGATAAAATGGCCTCAGATTGAGCTCTGAACAAGAGCTCAGTTTCAGGTGGAGATGGCCTTCCTCATGTTGATATTGTTTGCAAGTTATCTGGCAGGTTGCATAGTGCACCCCACATTTCTTGAAGCATGTTTACCAGTATTCTTCATTCGCCTGGGACCTCAAAAAGTCTGCTTCTCAGTGGAAGCAATTTGCAATGTCACCCTCCTTTGATTTGGCAACTGTGGTGTCCCAGTCCTTTGTCTGAGGTCTTGTGAAGACAGGCCTATAAAGTCATCACTTGCACCATGTCCTCCAATCTAGCCTCTAAATGGCATGTAGTTTCAATGTCTGACCTGATGCTTGCAAGAGTCAGATCAACTTCAGAAATACTGCTCTTTTCTTCCTCTATGGGCTGAGGGGCATCAAGATCCACAGCAGTAAAATGTAAGTGAGATACATGAATTAATATGTCATGTTGAGGGACAACAGAGAAAAACAGGTTGGGGTTGGAAGCAGCTGCAGCTTATCGCACAGACTTTGTGGGAGAAGTCAGAAGGCACAAACCATTATGTATAAAGAAATCCTGTATAAAGAAAATCTGTCTTATAGTGGTAGCAGCAGCTACAGCGTCTGTGCTGTTCCTTCCCATTTGGCCAGGAATCTCTCTTTAAGAGAAGAAGAAGGTGCAGAATGGCTCTCCTTCATCTGGTAAAGACGTTCTCTTGTGCAGCATTCTGCACAAAAGTCCGATATTGTGAGATGTGCAGAGAATGCATCTGTCAGCTGATAATCTGCATGTGCAATGTGACAAGTAAAGGGCTGTAATAGTGGTGACTGCAAGCAAGAGGAGAAAAAACATCTGTGAAATGCAAAGCAATTATTGCAGGACAGTGTTGTGAGTGCTGTGGGTAATGAAGATGTGAGCAGTGAGCTGGAATCAGAATGGAGTTGAATAGACCCCTGACCTTAATAACTCTTGTCCTTTAATTGCAGTCAACATCACCTCATTTACATGCATGATTTTCTGCGAGAAAACAGTCTGCATATTCCCAGATAATGCAATGTCACAAATACTGTTCTTTCCTCTTAAATACCCCCACACTGGTTTTATTAAAAAAGCTGTCATCTGCTGAACCTTCTAAAGGATTGAGGCCCAGAGGTGACTCCAGCAACATTTCCTAATTCCTCCAATACAACTGAAAGCAGATTGTGGATTCTCTTTCCTGGATCATTTCATTTCTCTCCTTGGGAATAATTCTTGCTGGTGGATTCTTTGCTTGCAGTCCCATCAGTCGCCAATGTATAAAGTGGCAACAAGCTATATAAGAATTCTGGAAGAAGCCAACAACCAATCAGTGAAAACAAAAATAACCATATCAGCAAGCTTGCTATGAAGTTGAAGATGAGAGCGAAAGTGCCATTTTACAAGAGACGTAAAGTCTAATGAATAGTGAAACTGTGAACGATTGTATGAATATATTTTTTGTGTATTCGAGGCAGTAAAGAGACTTTGTGGTCTGACAAAAAATTCAATTGAAGAGCTTTGCTTTCTCATTTGAATAGCTAATTACAACCTGCCAACAAACACTCAGGATACATTATATGCTGTCTGGATGAGTTTGGAAAATCTTGACAATCTTGTAAACTAATGTTAGATTTTTCTCTGCCAGTACAGCATCTTAGTTGACCAGTGGGTCTTAGAATTCAGTTTCTTTTTATTATTTAATTTATTACCTGGCAATTGTTGACAATCCTCCAGTACTTGATGGAAGTTGGAAACTTTACTAGCTTTTGTAGTTGTCTTGCCGGTTGAAAATCATCTTGCTTTTGCGTCGACGGCATCACAGATGTTTGATTTTGCTGCGATTGCTTTAATGATACCAGTTTCTATGAGCTCATAATGAATTCCAAAAGGACGTGATTCTCCATTGTTTTCCAATTGTTAACATACATGAAGAGGCTTCTTGAGGCTTTTAAATTAACATTAACTTTTCTGTATCCTAACTCATTATTGCCAGTAATTTAGACTTGCTACTAAACCACTGATCATAACTTTAGGGACTTCAGTGTCAATAACTACAAGAATGATGAGGTTTTTTTTCTATTCATTTGGGGGATGTTGGGCATTGCTGGGTGGCCAGCATTTCTTGCCCATCCCTAATTGCCCTTGAGAAGGTGGTGGTGAGCTGCCTTCTTGAACCACTGCAATTCATCTGCTGTGAGTTGACCTGCAATGTCCTTAGGGAGGGAATTCCAGGATTTTGACAGTCAAAGAATGGCGATATATTTCCAAGTCAGGATGGTGAGTGGCTTGGAGGGGAACTTGAAGATGGTGGTGTTCCCATATGTCTGTTGCCCTTGTCTTTCGAGATGGAAGTGGTTGTGGGTTTGGAAGGTTCTGTCTGAGGATCTTAGGTGAATTTCTGCAGTACATCTTGTAGATAGTACACACTGCTGCTACTGAGTGTCGGTGGTGGAGGGAGTGGACACTTGTGGATGTAGTGCCAATCAAGCAGGCTGCTTTGTCCTGGATGGTGTCAGGCTTCTTGAGTGTTGTTGAGGCTACATTCATCCAGGCAAGTGGGGAGTATTCCATCACACTCCTGACTTGTGCCTTGTAGATGATGGACAGATTTTCAGGAGTCAGGAGGTGAGTTACTCGCCGCACTATTCCTAGCTTCTGGCCTGCTCTTGTAGCCACTCTGTTAATGTGGTGAGTCCAGTTGACTTTCTGGTCAATGATAACCCCCAGGATGTTGATAGTGGGGGATTCAGTGATGGTAACACCATTGAATGTTAAAGGGTGGTGGCTAGATAGTCTCTTATTGATGATGGTCACAGCCTGGCATTTGTGTGGCGCAATGTCACTTGCCAGCCCAAGCCTGGATATTGTCCAGATCTTGGTTTTGACTTTCAGGTAAGCTGTTAAATTGAAGCTTCTTCTGCCATCTCAAATAATAGATCCCATAGCACTTTTCAAAAAAAGAGCCCTGTAATTTTTGTATTGGACTGTTGTCTATTGGCTCATGGTCTACAGGGCAGCACTGATACTTCAACCACAAACATTAAACAAATTTGTGTCAACTTTCAACAAGCCACATTTTTCTGATACTGACATGTCAGATGAGCCTGCTGTTACAGACACGAATGAGAATGAAGGTTAGGTCACTTCTACAATGTTGAAACAGATGCACAAACACCAGTTTTACACCCAAGCGATAGGTTGAACATTTTTCTTGTTGCTAATTTCAGGACCATATTGCACATGAATTAGCTGCTGTGCTTCCCTTTGCATTTCTATAGGAATATGGGTTGGAAAGGAAAATAGAAAATACTAGAGAAACTCAGCAGGTCGGGCAGCATCTGTGGAGAGATGAACAGTGTTAATGTTTTGAGTCCAGTGAGAGGGGTATCGCTGCTGTCCATCATCAAAAAGATCATTCCAAAATTCCTGGTCAATCCTCCAGTGGCTGAAGAGTTCCTCCCAGAGTTGCAGCAAGAATTCCTTTCATCAGGAGGCACAACAGACTTAATCTTCACAGCAAGACATACTCAGGAAAAGTGCAAAGATCAGCAGCAATTTCTATACATTGTCTTTTTTTGATCTCAAAAAGAGCTTCAACTCCATTAACCAGAAGGGAAAATGGCATGTTCTCCTCGAATTTGAATGCCCACAGGAAAGCATCATCATCCCCTAATGCTGCGCAATGCATGTGTGATCATCATCAGATGCAATAACTGTACAAATTGGGTCAATGTCATCAGACCGGTGCTTTTCTGCATCTTCTCTGCCACAACACTCCACTCCAATTCACCTAGCTTCCCTCTGGTGCGGAGCTAATCTACAGGATGAATGGGAAACTTCTCAATCTGTGTGGTCTTGAGTACAGAACCAAGATCAACCTCTTTTATCAAGCTGCAGTATGCAGACAACACATCTGTGTGTGCACAGTCAGAGTCCAAGTTCCAAATACTCATTGATCCATTCACCAAGGCAAATGAAAAAAATGGGTGTTAGACTGAACAGACAAAAGTCAAAGGCGCTATACCAGTCTACTTTTGCCACAGCCCACTGTCTTCCAGTCACCAAGATCCAAGGTGAGCCACTGGACAACGCGGATCGATTCCTTTGGAATTGGAGCTCCACTCAGAGAGAGCAGACATTGACAGTGGAATTCAACATTGCCTCCAGCGTAGCCTTTGATCATCTGAGGAACTGCACATTTGATGACAAAGATGTCAGACCCGGCACCAACCTCATGATCTACAGGGCATTGGTGTTACCAGCCCTATTAAATGTATTGGAGACACAGACAGTGTATAGCAGTCACCACAAATCCCTTGAGAAATATCACCAGGGATGCCTTCACAAAATCTTGCAAATCCACGGGCAGAATATACACTCCAATGTCAGTTTTCTCTCTTACATGAACACACACAATAGTGAGGCACAGGCTACGGTCAATCAGCTGTATTGGACGGGCCATCTCATCCACATACCTGACTCAAGTCTTCCGAAGACTGATTTCAGGACCATATTGCACGTAAATTAACTACTGTGCTTCCCTTCACATTTCTATAGGAATATAGGTTGGAGAGGAAAGCAGAAAACAGAGTAGACAAGGCTGTCTACTCCCAGCTTTGTCACAGCAAGCAGTTATCAGGAGGGCAGAGGAAACGTTTCAAGGATATCTTCCGATCATTCTCAAATGCAATTCCTCCTCCCTCCTGACTTGTAGGAATCTTTAGGTCATGCCTGCCCAATTTGGAAAAGAAACATTCATGAAGTGGCTAACTATTTCATGTGTTTCCAACGTGCTCAGATGGAGAAGAAGCACAAACAGTGGGAGGAGCATCCAAAAACACTCTCCCTTCAGGATCACACCTGCTCCACTTGTGGTAGAGTTTGTGGATCCAACATTGGCTATTCAGTCACCTCATATCATATAATAATCGATCCCAAGGGACTACATATGAAGACGATTGTAGCTAACACTAGCAGTTTTCTGTGAAGTGCTTTGTCACATCCAAAGAACTTACGAGGTAAAGCATAAATGGAAATTCTTACAGTTTAACCTTAAATTTCAGAATATACTGAAATAATAAACTTCCCACTAATCATTGAAAAGTCTGAGTGATAGCAAACTTAAATTGTTGAAATGAAACTCACACGCCCTCTCGACGGCAACACATTATGTAAGTAAGGATGAGGCACAGAATCAGAGCAATCACTAAAGGAACAGTGATTGTCACCACATAGTCTAAGTAGTAGTCTCTGTCTTCAATGGAATTTGAAGGTGGGTTGTATTCTCCACCATCCGTAAGGACACCATCGCCCGGAATCAAATCAGCATCGGGGATATCAGGTTTGGATTTATCAATCTGTGAAACAAAAATATGATAGGTTATTGAAGCTTGTGTTTATAATTCAATACGTATATTCTACATAATTCAAGATATATTGTATGAAACTCTTCCATCTTCATATGCTTCCTGTCAACATTTCTCATCATCAATTCCTATGTCCACATTGTATGACATTTGCCAATGTAAAGTTTTCACTCTACAGTTACATTGTCCCAACACAGGTAGTGCTGTAACAGATCAGTTTGCATTTCTAAAGGTGCCAATCATGTACTATGAACACTTCTATGTTCCATAAGCTTTGTCAATGTGAAAATCTGTTCTTGGCTGCTGGCATGGTCCATGGGCCTGTTATTTTATTTTATTTTTAACTTTGCAATCACAGGCATGGTGATCCTACTCTCCTTAAATATATTTCACAAATGTATTTTAAACTGTTTATTTTAGAAATGTTCCCTATCATACACATCCCCCTGCTGTTTCCAGTTTGCAGCCTGCCGCCTTTCAAGATTGAAATGGAGCACGTTGCTTTTCACTCCCTGGTAGCAGGTTTACTATTTTATTTTCTAAACTCCTCCATATTTCTTGCATGTTCTGGAACTTAGCATTCACTCTGTAGATTTTACCACCTTAATGGCCTGAATCCCAGCTGTAGCCTGTCTGGTTGAGCAAGAGGCCCATTCCTAGAGGTTTCCATCTCTATAATCCCCTAACTATGTTAGGCCTGCCCAAGGATTTGTTTCCTTTCCCATCATGTACTTTCTTTGCTCTTCATCCCAGAGGTCCCGTGTAGTGATTGAACCAGGGCCAGGTAGATCTGGTTGTCTAGGAGATCCTTGATTGGGGATGTTAACCTGGGCCAATCAGGGAACCTTGACCTCCTCAGAAGGCCTCTTCAGTCTAGAGACTGGGCTTTGAACTGGCTGGTCAGAGTCCATGTACTGTGCACATGTAAATAAAGGGTGACTTGGTGACAGGATACTGGCCTCTGTGCAGTTATTTCACCCTGTCATGCATAACTTATCATTCTCACCTCATTTCAGTTCCAGATTCTGCCTAATTCATCAATGGCCTAATTTCCTCACCAAAGCCAACACATGTAGGTTTGTTCTTCACAATTCAATGATTTTCATTTTTGAAGACATTCCAATAATCCCTGTTAGTACTGTTGGCAGTTGCTCTTGTTCCCAATCTGGTAAAATATGATTGTAGCATTCATGATTGTTGTAAAACTGGAGATGACAGTGGCGAAGTAGTAATGTCTGTGGATGAGTAATCTAGTGACCCAGAGTGGCCCTGGGTTCAAATCCTATTATGGCTGCTGGTGGAATTTAATTTCAATTAATTAAATCTGGAATGTAAAGTTTGTCTCTGTAATGTAACGACCATTAACTTTTCTTAAACCCATCTGGTTCACTAATGTCCTTCAGGGGAAGAAATCTGGCGTCCTTAACTGATCTGATCTGCACATGACTCGATATCCACAGCGATGTGTGTGACTCTTAAGTGTCTCCTGAAATAGCTGGACAAGCTGCTTAGTTCGAGGGTAATTAGGAAAGGCAACAAATGTTTGTTTTGCTAGCATGAAAGAGTAAAGAAGAAAAATGATGTGAACACTGTAAAATGGTCGTTGTATACAATTTGAAAGAGTAGTACCCCAGTGTTCACACAATTTTGATAGCATGCACAGGAATAAGTTCAGTACATACCACTTTCTACTTATGTGGTGCCTTTACAATGGAAAAATCTGTGATGTCATCACTCAAAAGTGTAAGGAAAAAAACAGGCTGAACAAATGAAGGGTGGATCAGGAGGGGTCTAAGAGGTTGTTTTTACATCTGAGTTTACTGAGGGCTCTGGACTATTCTTTCTTCTATCTCTATTACAAAGGCACATGAGTCACTTAAGGGAAAGACCAAAGACAAAAGAATTTGGAGTTCAAAGTTTTAATTTTCCAAAACTGAATTTGTCTGCTTCTATTCTTATCTATCCAATCATGGTCAGAGAATCACCTTAGTAGATTCTTTTCTCAGACACAGATCATTACTTTGAGTGTTCCCCAGGGATCTGTTCTAAGTCGTTCCTAATTCTCATTTACAAGCTGCTGCTTGGTGTCATCATGAGATGTTAGTCATAGAAGCATTGAGTTATACAGCCCTTCAGCCCAACTCATCAATGCCGGCCATGTTTCCTAAACTGAAGTAGTCCCATTCACCTGAGTTTGGCCCATATTCCCCTAAACCTTTCCTACTCATGTGGCTGTCTAATGTCTATATGTCATCCATCTTACGTGGCTGCGCACATAGCCAACCTCATTGATCTTTAAGGGGCCCTAATCTCTTCCTTGTTAGCCTTTTGCCCTTAATATACTTGGTGAATCTCTTTGGATTCTCCATTACCTCATCTGCCAAAGCTATCGTATGTCCCCTTTTTGACCTCCTGATTTCCCTCTTAAGTGTACTCTTACATCCCTTGCACTGCTCAAGGGATTCACTTGATCATAGCTGCCTACACCTGACATATGCCTCCTTCTTTTTCTTGGCCAGACCCTCACTATCTCTCGTCATCTCGTATTCCCTACTCCTGCCAGCCTTGTCCTTCTCAGTAACAGGTATACGCTGGCTCTGAACTCTCTATCTTGCTTTCGAAAGCCTCCTACTTGCCAGATGTCCCTTACCTGTGAACAGCTTCTTCTAGTTGGTTAATAAACATAAATTCCACATTGATTCATTTATCAAAAAACTGAGTTTACTTCTGTACATGATTCTGCAAACTGTCAACTTTCTGGATTACTGGCATTTATCAGGATTGCTGACCCTGTCACTCATCTATGCTTTAAATATAACAGTGACGAATGCAGGGTCTTTTGACAGAGGGGCCTAAAATTCTGGAGGTATAGGACACTGTAGAGCAAAGTTTAATGAATATGGAGGTGAACCTCTGAGGTAAGCCATAATGAGACTTTGACTTCAGTAGTCATGTGAAAGTATTTTACTAGGAGGCTGGAACTTGTACAAGCCCAGAGCAGGCTCCTCTGTAGCCTTGCCATGTACAGACTGTTAATAAATGCTGTTTAAAAGTAATCTAGAAGTCTGACCTGAGATTGAATGAAGAACCTATATGAAACAATGCAGCCATGTAGATCAAAGGGGCTTTGATATAAAACTAAATGTAATTGATTTACAATGGACAACAGAGGAAGCATTTCTACAAAGGTTCTGTACGATATGAAGCTGCCCTTGGCCACTTATTGTTGCTGAATGGCAAGGAAGATGTATTTATGGTAGGAACCAAAATGATGATTTTTGGTTTTCCTATTGTACAATTGACTGAATGTTTTCAATCGTATATTACAAAGTAATCTTCATTCTTCAACTATTGTGGGTAACACGATGGGAATCCCACGAGTTATTTGATGAGACCATGAAATGTCACAGATTTACAAAACTTTGACTGAATAAACGCTTTTCAGAGGAAATCTCCAGTTAGATTTTCCTGTGAAAAGGATGGTGAGGATAACAACACTCACTGTCATGCGAAATTCATATTGCAAATCCCACTGAGCACATACACAGTTAAACATTAAAGTTGCCCTCTAATTGCATTATTCCTATGTAAATTGCATAAAAACAGCATTTCACTTACTAGTTTCCTATTTATAAATAAAGATCCCTATTGTAGATACAGGTTAAATTCAGCCCTCATCCCCATTGCAAACTGAATACCCTTTTAACAGTGTGGTAAGTCTTAATTTCTAAGAATTAACTTCTCTAGCACTGAAAATTAATGTTTGCATGCATGGGGTCACACTCATTCAGTTTCTTTTAAATTTCACAGTTCCAATTGTGACTTTTCAAACTGTTCAGTTCAGGAAATGCACAGTTGTTTGGCCTGTTTCCACAAGCCCCTGATGCCCTTTCCAGTGTATTATGCTATTTCCACGTCCCGCTGGCAGCAATCTGGGATGTCTATGGGCAAGCACAAGTTCAATCATTTGCTCACAGCAAACTCTAGATCCTCTAGAACTGCAATGAGATGAAATAGTCACTTTTTTTTCCCATTGAGAGATTTTCTTGAATTAAAAGTAGATCCATTTGAATTGTAAACATTTGTACCTTGTACGTAAAAGGGAGAAAATTTTATTCTAATGTTGCAACGAATTTTGGGAGACGCTTTGTGACTTATTCTCAATTCAACCACTCAGAAGTACTTACCAGTAAAATATTACACCAGTCAATTATAAAATGTGGACTAAATGTATCTTCACAGCTGACAGGTTCCTGTTGGTCATCACACTGTTCATCAGGGCTTGCTTCTTCTTCCAAGCAAGAGGAAAAGGGAATATTGGAGCCAACCTTTACATACACACTGTAAAAACAAACTTGTCATATTATATATAATTTTAAGTAGGGTAGTTTTATTTGTAATGGCATTATGTCAAGGAGATTATAAAATTATCGATCTGTTGAAAATACTTCTTATCAAAATATTTAATTCAATGCCCTACTTTTAGGCTTTTCAACAGAAATAATATTTTTAAAGACATTAATGCATCTTAATTATTGTGGGCATTTTTGTTATTATTGGGAAAGATCCATATATTCTCCTTGTAGAGAGTTCTGCAGCAACAAATAAGTCACAAAGAGTCCAGCAAAATCAGAGGGGCCATTTGGATATAGCTAGGAATGTTGGTACTAAATTATCCGCATGAAATTTATACAAGTCTGGGGCTCTTTGGAAATGGTCTGGGATGGTGTTGGCACAGTGCTAATGCCAGTTTGTAGCCGCATATTTGCAAAGTTAACAATGCATCCTTGTGAGGCATCAGAAAACCATTAGCTTCTATCACTGTCTCCTTAATTGCTATGAAGGGAGTGATGCTTACCTGTTTTGTAGTTTGCAGCCTTTTTTGTCCTGGAGATCTACCACAGCAACAATGTCAAAAGTTGAGATGGAGGCTGGGTAACGTAACATTGAAACAGCCATTTGAATAAAGTTTTCCATGAGTTTCTGTCCATATTTCTCTGCCACTAGCCCACCATCCAACACATATCCACCAGTTGCTTTTTGAATCCAATGTTTTTCCGGTTCAGGTGCTTTCACTCAACCAGCATTAGATTGTGTCAGTGAGTTTGCGGTATTGTGTACTCTCACAGCGTGTGAACTGGGAAATCATTGAGGATCTTCTGTGCAAGTTGTCAAAGGCTTTAGATCTGAGGGACTTTGAAGTCACCTAAAATGACACCTACAATCTCTGCGGTCAATCACTAATGTTGTGCAATTAGTGACAGGTAAGATTAAAGTCTACAACGTCCATTTATAACAACATTAGAGGCATTTTCTCGAGTGCAGGCATTAATGGAGCTATTTCAGTACTGTAATAAGTAGTTAAGAATACTTGGTTCACTTCCACAATGTTGCTTCTGGGAAATAGTGGGGGGGGGGGTTGATGAGTCAGTGGGGTTGGGAATTGATGAGGCAATTTGAGTCCAAAAGGGATCAGGGGTAAAGCTGGGAATGGCTGGATCTGGACAGTCCATTTGGAATTGGGGTTTTGGTTGGGGCTGTGTGTCATCAGATATTTATGGAGGATTGCAGCAGAGTTGGAGAGTGTTGTATTCATGGGGGAGTCAAGGACTTTTTGTGGGAGCTAGTTGAGTTTCTGTGGGGTAGATGGGAGTTAGAGCAGGTTTTAATTCCTCTCTCTTTTCTTGGTTAACCACCTAAAGTCTCTGACTCCAAGTTAGAGTTGGGGATGACTTCGGAGGGTTCCAAAATTTCCCATCAGGCCTTTTAACTTTCTGAGTAGTGTCTGTAGAGTTGGCTATGTCACTGCTTCTGCATGGCCCTGATGTGAAATTCTTGACTATGCTGCTGCAAAGAATATAATTCAATAGAAAATTCCAGGGCATGGTCTTACTTGTTGATTGAACCAGTTGTCATTATTGCTTGCATTTGTTTAGTTCAAGTTTGTATAATAAAGATTTTTCAGGTATTTCAATTTAATCCAAGTGTCTAACCCCTAACTTTCTTGCCCATGGTACTTGCCCAAGGGCATATTATGTCCTTGCAATGGTTATTGTCTATCAATCCACCTTCTTAGCAATGTTTCAATTCAAGCACAAGGCAAGAGATTAAGATATTGCACAACTCACAAGCTGCAGCAAAAGTGTGTCTTTTGTGAGGAAGGCACAGATATATTATTGTTACTTTAAAACCTCGGTTCCAAAGTGGACAAACTATGTATAGCTTCACGTTTAATTTGTATTTCTATAATTTATGTGTCAAGAAAGGAAGGGAATATTAAGGAGGGAAGGACATAGTTTCAGTTTCACCTTTTAGCTCTCTGAGTGGCACACATTACCAGGAAATTTGTTTATATGACTTTGAATGTCACCGAATAACAAATCCTTGAGGTGAATAGAATAGCACTTTAGAAAACAGGGGTAGAAGAGGGAAAGTAATTGGGCTACTATTGCCTAGCAGCGAGGTGTCATGTGATACAGGCAGGCAAAGTCAGAAGCAGATCATTTTAGAAAAACAGAATATCCAGAAGGTTAGTGCAGATTTTCTTCAGAGGAAGTGGCAGGTCATTCAGAGATAAAACACCTGTAAAAGTAGCAAATATACTTACTTGTCTCCAGAAAAGACCAAACAGAACAAAAGAAGCCCTGAGTGGCTTACAGTTAGGAAGATAAAACCTCCAGAAACAGAAGACAGTGGAATAGCAGTTTAAGAATGTCATGGTGAGAAATCAATGAGTTGTGTTAGCAGTTTATGTAAGGGTTTTAGGGAGACAAATTAACTAAAAAGAATTGAACGGCAGCCATGCAGACTGACGAGGAATTTGGAAGCAGGGACAAAGTGACCCTTTACTCAGGTTTGAGTATCTGTGAGGCTGTTGTTGAGGAAAATAAAGATTGAGTCTCTATTTCTTATATTTGTAATAAGCCAGTTTCAGTTATTGTATAGTGCAGAGTACTGTTTTCCCCTTTTGTAAGTAAGAAACTTCAATGTTCTTTCATTAAAACTACAGTGGCAACTTCTTGTGAATATGTTTAGTGATTGACCACTACAGTTAAAAAACTACAAAAATAATAAAATATACCATTTCTCAAGTCACGCTGAGATTTGACTTGTCCAGTATTACCATCAGCTGAGATCACAACATTTCAAAACCATACAGTTACTCTGAATGGTCATTCTGGTAGCCTTATGTCACAGCAACCTTGTGATAATGAATGACTATGTGTTGGTCTTCCATCACTGTGATCCAAAGGTTTGTGTATGAATCAGCTTTCATTTAAAATGCAATGGTCACCTGACAAATATTTGCTTCCTAGATCATTGTTGATATTGTAACATGGCTAGTGCCTACCCAAAATCAATGAGTGCCATGAAGGTATAGTGTGGTGTAGTGACCAAGAATGAGAGGAGCACTGTCATTCTAATCCCACTACTCCAAGGAGTCGCTGCATAACATAAAGCTTTCCTTTTACTCAAGTCCCAATCTGACCAACTGGATGCTTTCTTCATATTAGACTTGGAATAAAGAAAACATCGATCAGGCATTCTTTAATAAACACGAAAGCTGTCGGGTTCTTATAGAACAAAACCCATTCAATGAAGCTGCAGAATTGGTTAACACATACTATTCGTAAAATGAAAATCCATGTATTTAACTTGTTAACTAACCCAGAATATACTCTTGCTCTCTCTTTTCAGGTAAAAGAACAAAAGAAATTACTTCAGAGATAGTAGGAACTGCAGATGCTGGAGAATCTGAGATAAGAAGGTGTAGAGCTGGATGAACACAGCAGGCCAAACAGCATCAG